ACTTACCTACATGCAGGCAACACACACATACACATAAAATGAAAATAAAATATTTTTTAAAAAATAATAAAATAATTTTTTTTTAATATTTTAATTGAGCCAGGGAACTGGCTCAGTAGTTAAAGGCATTTGACCCACCAAGCCTGATGACCTGAGAATTGACTCCCACAAGTTTTCCACTGATCTCTACACATATGCTGAGACACTTGCAAATACACATAAAATATAACAAAAATTGAGGTTGACTTGGGAGTGCACAACTGTAACTGCAGAACCTAGGAGGTGGAGTCAGAAGGATCATCTTTAGCTAACAAAGGAAGTTCAAGGCCAATCTAGGCTACAGGAGACCCTTTTTCAAAGAACACAAATGTCAGGGCTGGAGAGATGGCTCAGCAGTTAAGAGCACTGGCTTATCTTGCAGAGGACCCAGGTTTGGTTCCCAGCACCCACAAGTGTCAGTAACTCCAGCTCCAGGGGATCCAACACCCTCTTCTGACTTCCGAGGGCACTGCGTGACACAGGTATACTTACACACATGCAGGCAATACACACATGCAGATAAAATAAAATATTTTTTTAAAAAAACCACAAATGTTACTTGTCATGGTGGCACATGCCTTTAATCCCAGCACTTGGAAGGTAGAGGCAGGTGGAGCTCTGTGAGATCGAGGCCGACCTTGTCTATATAATGAGTTCCAGGCCAGGTGGGGCTACTGGGATACTCTGTCTAAAAAAGACCAAAAAACCCCCAAAACCAAAAAACCAAACCAAAACAGCCAACCCCCTCAAACACGTTTATTTTTATGGTCCTACAGATAGACTCCAAGGCCTTGTATACACTAGTCAAGCACTCTGCATCCTCAGACCTTTAAAGTATTTCTAGATTGGCCAAGACTGGTCAACCAGGTTCAAAAAACAGGAACTACAAAATTAATGGGCAAGTACTGCCACCTAGTGGGCTCAGCTAATATTGTGCCATGTACTCAACTCCAATATTAGATGAGGAAAGGTTTCTTTGGATATTTCTGTTAAAAAAAAAAATCTATTTTTATGTGTATAAGTACTTTGCCTACATGTATGTATGTAAAGCACATGAATGAAATGCCTACAGAGGCTAGAAGAGGGCATTGGATCCCCTGGAACTGGAGTTATAGACGGTTGTTAGTTGCCATGTTGGTGCTAGGAACTGAACCCAGGTCCTCTGCAAGAGTAGCCAGTGCTCTTAAATGCTAAGCCATCTCTCCAGCCCCCCTGGATATCTCTTAAAAGTGAAACGTAATGTGGAAATGGGCATCAGGTCCCAATCTTAGTCGAAGAATTATTGGCAGCTGATTACTGCTGGGTGAGGAAGAACTGATCTTCTTAGTTGGAGGAACTCTAGATAGGCTGGCTATACCTCACTGGATGAACTTGTACTGAGGGATGTCTGAGGACACTAACTTGACACAATAGGAATTAGCACAAACAACATAATGTATGAATTCCTATGGGAGGGTGCCAATGGGGAAGGAGGTATGAAGATGATTAAGACTGATTAAAATGTTCCTATGGGCCGGATGTGGTGACACATGCCTTTAATCCCAGCACTTGGGAAGCAGAGGCAGGTGGATCTCTGTGAGTTCAAGGCCAGCCTGATCTACATAGTGAGTCCCAGACCAGGAGGGGCTACAGGGGGATCCTGTCTCAGAAAGCCAAAAAAAAAAAAAAAAAAAAAAAAGATGTTCTGTATGAAATACACAAAAATTCAATAATAAATTTACAAAAAAATTATATATTAAAAAAGTGAAATGTTCTAGAAATTTGAGAGATCCACCTAGGGTTATTGAATACTTATTTACTTTTCTTTTGAGAGAAGGTTTCATTATGTAGCCAATGACTGGCCTGGAACTCTGTACATTAGGCTGGCTTCAAGCTCAGAGACCTGCCTGCCCCTGCTGTGACTGAAGGTGTGAGCCACCATGCCCAGCTTACTTTTAGCTTTTCCAGTGTTGACCATCTTTCCTTGCCCATGGAGACCAGACTTGAAAGATGGGCCTGGAGGCTATGAGCTGAGGCAGTTGCATCTTGGGGATAGTGACCTCTGGTGAGGTATCCTTTTAGGAAGGGCTTTAGTTTCTATGGCAACAGGAAGCATATCATAGGTGCAACCGTGCATAGCCTGGCTGACTGCTGGCCTCCTTGGTGGTTTACATGCCACTGAGTGGAGACCTCTGAGAAGCCTTTTCCCAGCTGCCTCTTCTATTTATTGACTGTTAACCTACTGTTTTAAATATTTTTATAATTTTTTTAAGTGTATGAGTGTATTGCCTGCATGTATGGAAGTGCACATGTGCCATGCAATGTCTACAGAGGTCAGAAGAGGGCACTGAATTCCTCCCTCTAGAACTGGATTTATGGATGTTAGCTGCCATATGGATGCTGGGAATTGATCCTGGGTCCTCTGCAAGAGCAGTCAGTGCTCTTAACTGCCGAGTCATCTCTCTAGCCCCATTAATCTATTTTGTGTGAATGTGTGGAGTCAGAGGACAACTTTCAGGTGCTAGTTTTCTCCTTCCACCATGTGGGTTCTGGGGATTGAGATCACCAGGCTTGGTAGTAAGTGCCTTTTTTTTTTTTTAAAAAAATCCTAACTAGTTTATTGGGCTTGTTAGTGTGGCAAGTGCCTTTATCCACTGAGCTACCCCACCTTTTAAAAAAATATTTTATTCCCAGCACTTGGGAGGCGGAGGCAGGGAGATCTCTGTGAATTTGAGTCCAGCCTGGTCTACATAGTGAGTTCCAGGTCAGCTGGGGCTACAGGAAGACCCTGTCTCAAAAAGACCAAAAATTTTTTTTTCATTATTTTGTATTTTAAGAGTGTATTGTCTGCATGTATGTAAGTGCACCCATATCGTGCAATGCCTGCAGAGGTCAGAAGAGGGAGTCAGATCCCCTGTAACTGGAGTTATAGATGGTTGTTAGCCACCATGTGGGTGCTGGGAATTGAACCCTGGTCCTCTGCAAGAGCAGTCAGTGCCCTTAACTGCTGAGCCATCTCTCCAGCCCCCTATTCCATCTTAGTGACTTTTCCTTTATCAAACAGGCCCCCATCATGGTAAAACATTAACTACATAAGGACACACACTTTGAAGACTAGATACTCATCATATTTTAGGACAATACTTTGAGCTGGTGTTGGGAGTGATTAAAAAGTGATGAGTTCTGGCTGGGCGTGGTGGCACATGCTTTTAACCCCAGCACTCCGGAGGCAGAGGCAGGTGGATCTCTGTGAGTTCGAGGCCAGCCTGGTCTCCATGGTGAATCTGGGACAGCTGGGGCTACAGGGAGACCCTGTCTCAAAAAGACCAAAAAAAAAAAAAAAAAAAGTGACGAGTTCTGGGAATGGAGATGTGGCTCAGTTGGTAGAGTGCTTGCCCTGGGTTCTACCCCAGCACCGAGTAAACTGGGTCTGGTGCTGTAATCTCAGCACTAGGGAGATGTAGGCATGGGGATCAGGAGGAGTTCAAGGCTATCCTTGGCTACATAGTGAATTCAAGCCCAACCTGGGCTGCCTTACTTGTCTGCAGAAAAAGAAAGGATGAGTTCCAATTAGCCAAGTAGTATACAGTGAGGAGCCAAAGAAGCCAGCTATCTGCAGTGGGGACTGCATCCTGGAAGCCTTGTTTTGGGTTACAACAGGCTCCAGTAGATCCCACCCACCATCAAACCCAAGCCTCTCATTCTATGGAAAAACAAAACCAAAAACCTTATTTTGTGTGTTTCTCCATTTACCCTTGTATTTTGGAGCTGAAATCCAAAGCAGACTAGAAGGGCACATGAAGGCCAGGTAGGAAATGAGTTTGGGGGTGGACAGATGGCTCAGCACACACACACACACACACACACAAAATAAACTAAAAATAAATATTAACATCTTTCTTTAAAAAAATATTTATTTACTTATTTGAGACTGAGTCTCACTTTGTAGCCCTGGCTGGATTTATTCATTTAAAAAAGTTTTATATGTATGAGTGTTTTGCCTGTTCATACCACATGCATGCACTGTCCAAAGAGGCCAGAAGAGGGCATAGGATCCCTTGGAACTGGAGTTAGAGATGGTTGTTAGCCACCATGTGGGTGATGGGAACCAAATCTAGGTACTTTGTAAGAGCAGCCAGTGCTCTTAATTGCTGAGCCAAACAAATAAATCATTAAAACAGAACAAGTCAAAGTCGAGCCTGATATGGTGGCTAGGGTATGAAATCCCAGTACTTGGGAGTTACTTCCAACATTTATAAAAACAAAATTCCTAGGGTTGGGGAGTGTAGTTCAGTGTTAACCCATACCCTAAGTATGTATGAGGCCCTGGGTTTAATCCCCAGCACCACAAAAATTACCACACACCAAAGAACAAAAAAGGAATGACAGACAGGGCGTGGTAGTGCACACCTGTAATCCCAGCACTTGGGGAGGCACAGGCAGGTGGATCTCTGTGAGTCTGAGTCCAGCCTGGTCCACATAGCAAGTCCCAGGTCAACCAGGGCTACATAGTGAGGCCCTGTCTAAAAAAACAGAAACAAAATACCGCCATTAAAAAGAATGACAAAGGGCAGGGAGATGCATAAAGACCCTAATTAACATGAATTTTCACAAGACACTGGGACACTCATTTTAAGTCCCCTGCTGACAGACAATGCAGGCAGAGATTTCCCTTAGCGTCTGTGTCAATCAGATAATAGTAAACATGGCTGGATTTCTCTCAGAGCATTTGCCAGCAGCCAGCAGCATACATGGTAGGATTTTCTTCAGAACCTTTGTCATCAGCCAGTAGTAAACATGGCCGATTTCACCAAGCGCCTTTGCCATCAACCAATAGTAAACATTGCCGGACTTCCTTCGGCACCTTTGCTGACCACTACTAACATACATGGCCAGACTTCATTAGGCGCCTTTGCTTCCTGCCAGCAGCAAAGATGGCCGGATTTCCCCGAAGGCACTTGCATCAGCCAGTAGCAAACATGACCGCATCCACTTGCGCCAGGCCGCGAGGTCAAGGGTGACGCAAGATGGTGGCGCCTAGGAGCTGCTGAGGCGTGAAACGGAGGATGGCGGTGGCGGCGGCCGGGGTACTGCTGGGGCGGCGGCTGAAGTGGCCGGCCCCGGTCCGTGAGCACTGGACGCCGGCGGGGCGTTCTCGTAGCCGGCGTGAGGCGGCCGAGGCGGAGGCTGAGGCGCCGGTGTTCCAGTACGTGGGCGACTGTGCGGCCCGCGGCGACCGCGTATTCGTGTGGGGCTTCAGCTTCTCGGGAGCGCTTGGCGTGCCCAGCTTCGTGCTGCCGGCCTCCGGGCCCGAACGCCGCGCCGGCCTGAGGTCTCGCCGCAGGATCCAGCCGGTGCCCTACCGCCTGGAACTGGACCAGAAGGTGGGTTCCCAGCGCCGTGGCTGCGACCCCCATCCGGGCACTTTGGCCCCTGTGTGGCGGGACTTCCGGGAGGCTGCTATGTGAGCAGCTGGCTTTCGCTGGGGGAGGCAATGGGGTGGCTGTTAAGATATGTCTATCTTCTACGATGTGACTCTGCTGACCTTGCTTATGCGTCCTACAGACTTTAAAAAATTCTTTTGATTTGTTGGTAAGTTTTTAAACATGTATGAGTGTTTTCCCTGCATCTAAGTACATCACGTGCGTGTAATGGTGTTGGATCTCTTGGAACTGGAGTTACAGATGGGTGTAAGTCGCCTTGTGGGTGCTGGGAACCGAACCCCGGTCCTCTGCAAGAGCAGCCAGTGCTCTTAACCACCGAGCCATCTCTCCATCCTCCGTTAATCTATTTTGTATGAATGTGTGTGGAGTCAGCCATCTCTCCAGCCCTACTTTGGGAGTATTTATTGCTAGAGTAGAGAAGTATAGTTTTATTTGTTGTAGTGGAAATCAAATCCTGGACATCACATGCTAGGCAAGTGTTTTACCACCGAGTTATACCTTTAGCCCTACAGTTCTCATTATAACTATGATCATCATCATTATTATTGGTCTTTTTGAGACAGGGTCTCCCTGTAGCCCATGTGGTGTGGAACTTGCTATGTAGACCAGGCTGGCCTGGATCTTACAGAGCTCCTCCTGCCTCTGCCTCCCGAGTGCTGGGATTAAAGGCGTACACCACCAGGCCATGCCAGTTATTTTTTTGTATCTTATGTCTTAGGACTTTGCTGAACTTGTTTATTCTGTGAATGTTTGTGTATTTCTCAGCATGTTCTATATACAGATTGCCTGTGAACAGAGATAGTTTTATGTCTTCATTTCTAATTGGTTGCACATTTCCTTTTTTTTTTTTTTTTTTTGTCTTTTTGAGATAGGGTCTCCTTGTAGCCCCAGCTGGCCTGGAACTCACTTTGTAGACTAGGCTGGCTCTCGAACTGACAGAGATTTGCCTGCCTCTGCCTCCCAGGTGCTGGAATTAAAGTCGTGAGCCACCACACCCAGCTGGTTGCTCATTTCTTTTTCTTGGGGGATTGCATGGGATGGAACTTCTAGTACAGTGTTGAAGAGAAGTGGTAAAAGCTAACATCTTTGCTTTGTTTTGTTTTGCTTTGTATCAGAGTCAGACAGTAGCTATGTAGCCCGGATTGACCTTGAACTCCATGTGTAGTCCAGGATGGCTTCACAATTTTCTATCCTCCTGCCTCAGCCTTCTGTGTGCTGAGATGACAAGTCTATGTGACAGTAGGCTCAGCCCTATCTGCTGTCATTCTTGCCCTTTGGGAAGATGTTCACCAACCTCTTCACACAACCTTGGTTGGAAGTTTCTTCCTGGTGCATTGACATCACAGGCCTTTACTTAAACTGACATGGTCAGATGTCCCTGAAAGCCTTTTCACACATTAAGAGATCAAGTGGTACCATGTGCCCATCAAATATTTGTTGAATGTTAAACAGGCACCGCTAAGTGATGAGAAAAATCTTAGTGTGCTGGACCATCATTTATAGACCTTTTCTATTTCCTGGCCAGTTGGCTCCATCCTTTTGTTCAAGCCGTATCTGTGGAGCTCCAGCCATGCCAGAAGCACAGTGGCTCTGGGAGACCAGAGATCTGGTGTTTGGCCAGCGCAAGGGTGCAAGGCATAAGTGTCCTAAATGACTCTTAGAAGGGAAAATGTTAAATGACAAAAGGAGACACATTACTTTTGAATGATGTGATTAAACAAAGTATCAACAAATCAAATTTTAGTAAAATACTTAATTTAGGGCCTTTAATCCCAGCACTCAGGAGGCAGAAGCAGGTGGATCTTTGTGAGTTCAAAGCTAGCCTGGTCTACATAGAAAGTTCTAGGCTAGCCTGGGCTACACAGTGAGACTTTCTCTCAAAAACAAACAAACAAAGCAACAAACAGACAAAAAAAAAAAAGTTCCTGGCCAGTTGGTTGCTCAGGAGGTTGAGGCAGGAGGATTGTGGAGAGTGGTATCTGGCATCTCTGTTTAGGACTCAGTAAGAATTACATGGATCCCTGAGACAGCCAGTGAGCTTCTCATAAACTCTTAAACAGCTGAGAGATAGTGGGGTGTCATTAGGCTGACGACTTTGACTTACGATGAAGTTTGTTTGAGAGGACCTCAGGACATCAAGTGTAAAACCAAGATTGACCCACCCACACTAGCTCAGAATGTGGTTACTCTGTCTAGTATGGGACTAGGATTGATTATAGAATCAACCCACACTTGGTTTACTTCTGGCCCACACTGGAAGTAGTGCTTCCGACAGACATTAAGTTTCCACTGGAAGTTGCATTTCTTTGGCCATCTCTGGCTTTTATATAGGTGCTGGCGATTTGAACTTGGGTCCACATGCTTGTATATCAAGTGTTCTTACCCACTGAGCCATCTCTCCAGCTTCCAATTTCCTTAATTTCATTGATTTATTTACTTATTTTTATTTATGTGCATGTGTGTGTCTGCTTAAGTGCATGATGTGCATGCAGTGCCCACAGAGACCAGAAGAGGGCTTCAGATCTCCTGGAGCCGCAGTTACAGGTGATTGTGAACTGCCGTGTGGGTGCTGGGACCTGAACTCTGGTCTTCTGCAAGAGCAGTCAGTGTTCTTAACGGCAGAGTGACCTCTCCAGCCCCCTCTTATTTCCTTAACATTTATTTATTTATTTATTTATTTATTTATTTATTTATTTATTTATTTAGTGTGTATGTGGTACATAGGCATACACATTGCCACAGTGCTCCTATGGAGGTCAGAAGGCAGACTGCAGGAGTCAGTTCTCTCCTGCCACCATGTGGGTCCTGGGAATGGAACTCAAGTCATCAGGCCTGGGAGCAAGGGCATTTATCTGCTGAGCCATCTCGTCAGCACTTGTCCTTTTTATAGGGAGAAATATCTAGAGACTAGGGTAAATAATCCCTCTCAGGCCACACAGCTGGTGAAGAGTGGGGCCAAGAGTCAAACTAAGACCTTGTGTCAGCTTCCAGGCTAGACTATGCCATGGTGGGGGCATGAGAACCCTGTGCTTAGTGTGAAGAATGAGATCCAGCTGGGTGCAGTGTGCATGCCTTTAATCCCAGCACTCAAGAGGCAGAGGTAGGCAGATCTCTGTGAGTTCCAGACCAGCCAGAACTACATAGTCAGACCCTGTCTCAAAAATAAACAAATGAGATAGTAGCATGCCCAACACACAGTAAACACTCAATAAATTCCAGTCACTATGGGAAATATGTGGTTTGATAATTAGCTTGTGACTTACTGCGAAAGGATTGAGGTTGCATGCATTGTGGGGACTCTTTTCCAGATTTCCTCTGCTGCCTGTGGCTATGGATTCACACTGCTGTCCTCTAAAACCAAGGATATCACAAAAGTTTGGGGTATGGGACTCAACAAAGATTCTCAGCTTGGATTCCACAGGAGCTGGAAGGATAAAAGTAAGCAGGTCTTCTCTCAACTACAACCAATAAAGATGGCTGCGTTGGCATTCCAGCATTGAGGTAGGAGGATCCTAAGCTTGAGGCCAGCCTGAGCTACATAATGATACCCTGTCTGAAAAAAATCAAGGGCTGGAGCTGGGCATTGTGACACACATCTAATCTCAGCATTTGGGAGGTAGAGGCAGGAGGATCAGGAGTTCAAGTCATTCTCTCTAAATAGTGAGTTTGAGGCCAGTCTGGGCTACATGAGACCTTATTTCTGAACAAAACAAAACAAGACACCAGCCCAAACCACAACTAGATGGAGTCTTAGAGCGTGTTTTCAACCTCCCAGTTATTTTGGTTACAATATGGAACCTTAAGCTGGGCATGGTGGCATGTGCCTTTGAGTCTAACACTTGGAAGGCAGAGGCAGGTGGATCTCTGTGAGTTCAAGGTCAGCCTGGTCTACATATGGAGTTCCAGGCCAGCTGGGCCTACAGGAGACCCTGTCTCAAAAAGACCAAAAAAACCAAGCATAACATGGAACCTTTAGGCAAAAAGAGACAGGCACCTCTGTTTGCTGACTCATTTCTTAATTCTCAGAAGTGCCTAGACTGTGGGCCAGTGAAATGGCTCAGTGGGTAAAAGGGCTTGCTGCACAGCCTAACCACCTGAGTTCAGTCCCCAGGACCCATAAGGTAGAAGGAGAGAACTGACCTACAAGTTGTCCTCTGACCTCACACATGCTGTGGCATGTGCACACCAGGACTCATACCTGCACTCACATAGACACATAATACACATACAAACACAATAAAATTTTTGTTTTGAGACAAGGTCTCCACTATGTAGCTCTGGCTGACCTAGAGCTCACTATGTAGACCAGGCTGGCCTCAAACTCAGAGATCCACCTGCCTCTTCCTCCCAACTGCTGGAATTAAAGTTGTGTGCTATCATGCCTGGCAGTAATAAGTTTTTTAAAATTAAAACTATTTTTCAAGTGGAACAGAAGCCTTAGATGGAGGTTTTTCATCCAGGTGTCTGAAGCTTTTTTGGTCTATTTAAGACAGGGTCTCAGGGCTGGAGAGATGGCTCAGCGGTTAAGAGCACTGACTGCTCTTGCAGAGGACCTGGGTTCAGTTCCTAGCACCAACATGGCAGCTAACAACCGTCTATAACTCCAGTTCCAGGGGATCCAGTGCCCTCTTCTAGCCTCTGTAGGCATTTCATTCATGTGCTTTACATACATACATGCAGGCAATACACTCATATACATAAAATAAAAATAGGAAAAAAAAAAAAAAAAAAGACAGGGTCTCCCTGTAGCCCCAGGTGGCTGGGAACTCCCTCCTACCCACATTGTGGGATTAAAGGTGTGTGGCACCACACCTGACTGAAACTTTTTTAAAGCACTTGGGTGGTGGTGGCAAGAGGACTTGATGTGTAGCCAAGGATGACCTTGAGCTCCTGACCCTCCTGCCTCAGCCGCCCAAGCCCTGGGATTACAGAAGTGAGCCACCATGTCCAGCTCTCAAGATTTCTTTTTTTTTTTTCTTTTGAGACAGGGTCTGTTGAACTGGTGTTGTAGCTAAGGATGATCTTGAACTCCTGATCCTCCTGCTTTCACCTCCCGAATTACAGGTGTGTGCTACCAGGCCCAGTTTGCAGGAGGTGCTGGGGATGGAGCCTATGGGTTTTGTGCATGCTAGGCAAGTGTTCTCCCCAACCAACCAGCCCAGCCCTGGAGATTCCCTTCAGGAGGTGAAGCACTAGTTCAGTGACACAGAGGCAAGGCGGAGGCATGGGGGAGTCCGCTTCTCGGGCTAACCTTGCCAGTAATGTGCATGTTTTAAATCATTGTCATCGACTTTCTTCCTGCATAAAACAGTGGGGTTGGGCAGTTAGGTTTCTGTGTGAGCTGAGGTGACTGAGTCAGTGGTTCTGTTCAGCCAGGGGCTACGAATACATTTTGGAGCCCTCGCCTGTCCTGCTGCCCCTGGACAGACCTCAGGAGACACGGGTGCTGCAGGTGTCCTGTGGTCGAGCGCATTCCCTTGTCCTGACAGACAGCGAAGGCGGTGAGTGGCCTTGCTGGGGGCTGAGGAGATGAGGGTGTCTGACTGTGAAACTTCTTGAGGCCTAGGCTATCCATAGACTTGCTGTGTAGCAGACGCTGGTCTTAGCTCCTCTTTGCCTACTTCCACCTCCTTAGTACTGGGATTATAGGTGTGTACTCCCCTGCTGCATCCTGTTTTTTTTTTTTTTTTTTTTTTTTTAAGAGTCTCAGTATGTAGACCAAGCTGGCCTGGAACTCACAGAGATCCTCCTGCTTCTGCCTTCTACCATGCCAGGCCCTCCTAACCCTTGGTTTTTTTAGACAGAGTGTTGATATAGCTTGGGCTAGCTCTTGGTCTTTCTGCCTCAGTCTCTGGAGTGCTGGGAACACAGGTATGTGCCACCATGCTCAGCCAGCAGAATACCTCATAACATTTTACTTATTTATTTATTTGGGGTGTGTGCCACAGTGCAGGCATGGAGTTCAGAGGACAACTTTTGGAAGTTTGTTCTCTCCTTCCACCATGTGGCCTCCAGGAATTGAACTCAGGTAGTTAGGTTTGGCTGAACAATCTCACCATCCCAGCAAGACCCCTACTGAAGGCCTCCTGCTCCCTAGGCAGTGAAGTCAGGAAACTGGCAGTGGATATAGATGGCTTTTCCACTGCTGCTGAGAGAGGCCATGTAGGAGCTTGGGGTTGGAGGTATGAGGGAAACCTCAGAATCATGTGCCCCATAGAGGCCTTGTTCCCAGCGACAGGCCAGTATGGTGGCCCTTTCCAACTTGTGGCCAAGTGGCACAACAGGAAGGAACCAGGATGTGTGTGCTGGAGCTCTGAAGATAGCAGTTGGCCTCATAGGAGGCCCACTGATAGATACAGGGGATGCCTTTCTACCTGAGTCCCTAGAGGTGGAAGCAGGGCCTGGAAAGGAAGTGTGCCAGACCCTGCCACAGCACCGACTGTGTGCTGGGAGGCTGTGGGTATGGGAGAGGGAGATCCAGTTTCGGGAGGTTCACAGTTGGTCCAGGGGTGGAGTCCCATAGGGCCCCTCCAGTTCTGCTGTGCTGTGGTCCTGGGGACCCACAGAGCTGACTTAATGGATGGTGCTTTTTCAGTCTTCAGCATGGGAAACAATTCCTACGGGCAGTGCGGGCGGAAGGTGGTGGAGGACGAAGTGTACAGGTGAGTTTGCACAGTGCTGCTTTTCCCATATTACAGGTAGCATGAAGGCTTCTGATGACTCTGGACCACATACCTTCAGAAGGCAGGACAGGGTCCCTCATGTTGGGGAGGGTGCCCTTAGCTCAGTAGAGGCCTGGGGAGTTGTGTTTTGGGGGAGTCCCATCACTGGCAGGGTGGGAACAGTGTTGGTCATCATGTATAGAGCGGCCTTTATTAAAAACATTTAAATATTTTTACATTTATTAGTGTGTGGAGTGTATGTGTGTGTATGTGTATGTGTTGGTCAGAGGACAGTTTTCAGGAGTCAGTTCTCTCCTTCTACCACGTGAGTTCTGAGGATCAAAGTTAGGTAGGCAGTCTTGGCAGCAAGCACCTTTATCCACTGATTTTATCTTGCTAGCCCCTCAATCAAAATTCATTTTTAAATTTTTTTTTTGTCTTTGAGACAGGGTCTCCCTGTAGCTCCAGGTGGCCTGGAACTCAGTATGTAGACCAGACTGGCCTTGAACTCACAGAGATCCACCTGCCTCTGCCTCCCAAGTGCTGGGGTTAAAGGTGTAAGCCACTATGCCCAACTCATTTTTTAATTTTTACTTTTTAATTTTTTTGACTTTTTTTTCTAATATTTTATTATTTTATTTTATGTGTATGAGTGTTATGCCTGCATGTAGGTAAGTGCACTCGTGTTGTACAATGCCCGAGGAGGACAGAAGAGGCTGTCGGATCCCCTGGAACTGGAGTTAACAGACAGTTGTTAGCTGACCTGTAGGTACTGGGATTCGAACCCAGGTCTTTTGCATGAACAGTCAGTGTTTTTAACTGCTGAGCCATCTCTCCAGCCCCTATTTTTTTTTTCTATTTGAGACGGTCTCCTTGTAGTCCCAGCTGACCTGGGACTTACATGCCTCTGCCTCACAAGTGCTAGGATTAAAGGCATGCACCACTATGCCCAGCTTCCTACAATTCATTTTTGTAAATTATTTTATCAAATTAACTAAAAAAAATTTTCCCCTTTATTTCAGTCCTTTCATTTTGATGTTGAAAAACATTTCATAAGCCAGGCCTGGTGGCACACGTCTATATCCCAGTACTCTACTTGGGAGGCAGAGATAGGAGGATTGGAAGTTCAAGGCCTGGGTGGGCAATTTAACGAGACCTTGTCTCAAAAGACAAAAAGAAAGAGCTGAGGCTACAGCTCAGTGGCAGAGCTCTTACCTTACCTCTCCCAGTGAGAGCCTAGAGTCCCATAGTGAGGGGCTGGGGGTGTGGCAGGGTTGTCACACCTGCCTATATTTCCTCAGTGTGGGGCTCATGTGTGGTTCAGCAGTAGAACATACCTGCCTTAGAATCTCCCAGTAAGAGGTTGGAGGACATGGCTCAGTGGTAGAGCACCTGCCTAGAATCTCCCAGTAAGGGGATGAGAGATATGGCTCAGTGGTGGAGCACCTGCCCAGCATGTGTAGGCCCTGGGTTCCATTCCCTGCACCCAAAAAAAATCAAACAAGCAGGGGCTGGAGAGATGGCTCAGTGGTTAAGAGCATTGACTGCTCTTGCAGAGGACCCGGGTTCTATTCCTAGCACCTACATGGCATGGTGGCTAGGAACCATCCTTAATTCCAGTTCCAGGGAAATCCATGTATGTGGGTATACTCACATACATGCAGGCAATATACTCATACACATAAATATTAGCAGAAGAGATGGCTCAGCTGTTAAGAGTGAGTACTGCTCTTGCAGTACTCTAGTTTGTGTCCCAGCACCACATGGGGGTGGGTGTCACAATCCTCTGTAACTCCAGCTCCAGAAGATCTGATGCCTCTGGCCGCTGCAGGCATGTAAGCACAGGTGCACATATCCACACACACAATTAAAGATGAAATAAACCTTTAAAGACAAATCAACCAACCTCAGCTAACTGCCTTCTATTTGACCTTGAACTGTTCTGACAGTTGCTTTGTGCCTGTGGGGCTGTGACTGTGCAGATAGGGCCCATCAGGAGCGGGGGGCCGGGGAGGGGATGAGTAAGGCCTGTACAGAGTTGGTGACTGCATCTGTTGCTTCTCCTCAATTTGCTTCTGGCTATAGTGAGAGTCACAAAGTCCATAGGATGCAGGACTTCGATGGACAGGTGGTTCAGGTAAGAGGCTTGCAGTGCTTTTGAAAGGTTGCAAGCTGCATGGGGCCAAGGCACACTTGCCAGGGACTTCTTGGGATGAAGAAATTAGAGATTATTGACTTACTTCTCACAGACCAGAGGCCATGCTAGAACATGGGAGCAAGGTGAAGTGGAGAAGGTTTGGGAGTGAGGTCGCAGTGGATGGAGCATATCTTACACTGGTTTCCTAGTCTCATGGATGTGAGTTCAAGTCCTTGCTCCTCACTTACTGGCTGAGCAATTTAGGGGAAGTCACCATACTTCTATGTGGTTCCTTTTCTGCTGGGGTTGGGGTGATGGGCTTAGCTGTTTCTTAGCACAGTTCCTAGCAGAACAAATGTCCCACAAATGTGGTTTCTTACTGTCTTTGGGACAGAAGTGACAGTAAGCAAGGCTTGGGGCTGAGGATGCCTCCCAGGGTAGTGTGAGGAGCAAGGAGTCAGCAGATTCCAACAGGGAAGGGGGATGAAGAGACCACAGTTAAAGGTGGAGGGAGGGGCTTGAAAATGGCTCTGGTTCAGAGCATTGGCTGCTCTTACGGGGGACCTGGGTTCAGTTCCCATCACCCACATGGCAGCTAGCAACTGTGTATCTCTAGCTTCAAGGGATCTGACTCATTGCCTCCATGGGTACTGCACACATGTGGTGCACTTAACATGCATGCTGTCAAAACACTTAAACACATAAAAAATTAAAAGGGTAGAGGGAGGGACAGCATCGTGGACTGCTGAGAGAAGAGCTGTTTGGATTTTCACTTTAGGACCTCAGCTTGGCTTTACTGAGTGGACAGGATGACAAGGCTAGGCTGCATGGCTTCAGAGAATAAGGTGTGCAGACAGCTGGGCAGCACTTGACTCTTAACTGCCTGTGTGTGTGTCCACCAGGTTGCCTGTGGTCAGGACCACAGCCTGTTTCTCACAGACAAAGGTGAAGTGTATTCTTGTGGATGGGGCGCCGATGGGCAGACAGGTAGGTAGGTGCTGGTCACCCACTTGCGGATGTACAGGGTCTTGGACTGTGGCCTTTGCAGTTGTGGGGCGCCATTAAGGGGCTGAAGGGTTCATGGTCTAGATTTGGGTCTTATCTTGTATTGCTTCTGGGGACTGCCATCTTTTGCATCCTTTTCTGTTCCCTTTGCTGCTGGTTTCTGTAGAAATGAACCAAGAGGCACCAGAGGCTCCTCCACCAGTAGTGGAGTCTTGGCCCTGTTTATCCAGCATCTGGAGTCTGCAGGGGAGCAGGCCTGTCTGTTAGCTCTGCTGACTCCCGCACAGCGCCACTTCCCCTCGGGTTTAGTGAGTTTTGATTGTGAACTCAGGTCTTACTGAGTTTAATTGTGCGATCCTTCAGGAACTGCCTTAAAGATCTTTTCTCTAGAGTGCTCTCATTGACCCTGGCCTGTTGTTAAGGGACACTGGCCAGGAACCTGGTTTATGCAGGAGTCTGTGGCTTTGCTATGCTTTGGCACTTTGGCTGCCCAATGAGGTCTTGCTGGGCTGTCTAGGTGGGCTCAAGTGGTCTCATCCCCTGGTCTCCTGAGTAACTGGGCCTACAGTTGCATTCCATTTTGCCTCCCTTCTTTATTTTTTTGCAAGCCCAATAGTTTATTAGAAACTGCTTGTTGTACTGGGGAGAGATGGCTCAGTGGTTAAGAGCCCTAACCACTCTTGCAGAGGACCCAAGTTCAATCCCCAACTGCCATGCTGGGTAGCTCACAACTGCCTGTAACTCCAGCTTCAAGGGATCTGACGTCCTCTTTTGGCCTCTGAGGGCACTGCATTCGCATGTGCCCTATATACACAGACAGACATACAGATACATAATTAAAAATAATTAAAACAGCCAGGCATGGTGGTACAGGCCTTCTGGAGGCAGAGGCAGGAGAATCTCTGTGAGATCAAGACCACCCTGGTCTGCAAAGCAAGTTCTAGGCCATCTGGGGCTGCACGGAGATCCTGACTCAAAAAACCAAACCCAAAAAACCACAAACAAACAAAAGACAAAAATAAAAATACCTTTTAAAAAGGTAGCTGCTTGTGGTAGGGCTGGGGATATAGCTCAGTGGTAATCCAGCCCTGGCACTGCAAAAACAAAAAAGAATACAGCAACTACTTATAATTTATGCAAAATCTAATAGATTTATCCTATAGTGCTATTTCATTTTCTAAGATTTTCTAACTTGCCTTTTGTTTTGCTTTGAGGCAGAGTGTGTGTTTCCCAGGCTGGCCTGGAACTAGCAGAGTAGTTAGTTCCTCCCATCTCAGTCTTCCAACTTGATTTAGACCTAAATCATTCCTACAGCATTTCAAATAATGCCAGTTACAAATGTGTCCTTTTTCAGCCTCTGGGGAAAAGCAAGTCTGTGAGTGGTTTGAGTTAAATGTCACTATTTCCTGTTGCACTAGGCCTGGGTCACTACAACATCACCAGTGCGCCCACCAAACTGGGTGGAGACCTCACAGGGGTGATGATTGTCCAGGTCTCCACGTATGGCGACTGCTGCCTGGCTGTGTCTGCTGACGGAGGCATCTTTGGCTGGGGAAACTCGGAGTACCTGCAGCTGGCCTCAGTCACGGACTCCACACAGGTATGTAAACAGTGAAAGCTCAGGAACCTCAGTGGGGGCCTGACTGACTGTCAGACTGCCTCTGTCCCTCCATGTCCTTGGAGCCTAGAAAGAGGAGAAGGTTTGAACTATCAAGATGAGTTGGCTCTGGTTTAAGACAGTATTTATCGGCCAGGCATGGTGGCACACACCTTTAATCCCAGGTATTTATCTGGTGTGTGTGTGTGTGTGTGTGTGTGTGTGTGTGTGTGTGTGTGTGTACCCATGCTTGTGTGCACATGCATGTTGATGTCAGGAATCATCCTCATTGAGGCAGGGCCTCTCAATCAAACCTAGAGCTCACTGATAGGTCTTGTCTCTACTCAGCTTGCTATGGGGAATCCCTGTTTCTGCCTTTCAAGGCAGGAATTACAGGATGGGCTGCCCATGCCCACCTAGCATTTAGGTGGGACCTGGGAATTCGATCTTCAGTCTTCATGTTGCACAGCAAACACTTTAACCACTGAGCTGTCTTTGCAGCCGCTATGTGTGTGCTTGGAAACAGGGTTTTTACTGTATACATCCCTGCTGGCCCTAGACTCAGCACTCCAATTGCTGCAGAGGCATATTTTTATTTTGTGTGTATGAGTGTTTGCCTGCATGTATGTTGGTGCACCATGTACCTAAGTCCTTGTGGGGGCCAGAAGAGGGTGTCAGATTCCCTGGAACTGGAGTTACAGACAGTTGTTAGCCTCCATCTGGGTGCAGGGAACCAAACCGGATCATCTGTAAGAGAAGCCAGTGCTCTTGGCTGCTGAGCATCTGTCTTCAGCCCCTTGAAGTTTGTTTTAGGTTTGTCTTGCCCCACCTTGTTCTGAAAGGGCTATGAGGCAGTTTACATAGGTGCCTGTGATACCGCAGAGTGCTCCTGCCTTAGTGTAGCACATATATCGCCAAGTGTAGTGGCAAGTTGGAGGTTAGCCTGGGCTATACAAACACCAAAACAAAATAAATTGAGTATGGAGATGCATGCCTGTAATCCCAGCACTTGGGAGGTGGAGACAGGAACATCAGGAGTTCAGGATCATCCTCAGTGACATAGCAAGTTTGAGGCCAGCCTGGGTTCTGTGAGATCCTGTCTCAACAAAAGAAAATGTAGGTTCTAGAGCACAGATTTTAGATATAAGAGCTATAAATGAGGCTGGCCATCAGTTCATGGTCAGTCTCCCGTGTGCTGGGGATACAGGTGTTCACTGCCATGACTGCTTGGATTTTAGCTTTTTTTTTGTTTTTTTTGTCTTTTTGAGACAGGGTCTCCCTGTAGCCCCAGCTGACCTGGAACTTGCTATGTAGACCAGGCTGGCCTTGAACTCACAGAGATCCGCCTGCATCTGCTTCCCGAGTGCTGGGATTAAAGGTATGTGCCACCACACCTGGCTAGATTTTAGCATTTTTTAAGAAATATTTTGAACATAAAATGTGAAAATTGTTGTATAACTAGCATCATTCTTTTTTGGTGTGCGCGTGTGTGTGTGTGTGTGTGTGTGTGTTTGTGTGTGTGTGTGTTTGTGTGTGTATTGTGCATGTTCATGTGTATGTGTATGCGTGGAGGCCAGAGGACAGTTTCAGGTGTTGCTGGCTGTTCCTCAGGAGCCATCTGCCTTAATTTTTTTTTGTCTTTTTGAGACATGGTCTCCCTGTAGCCCAGTTGGCCTGGAACTTGCTATGTAGACCAGGCTGACCTCCATCGCACAGAGATCTGCCTGCCTCTACTTCCCAAGTGCTAAGATTAAAGGTGTATACTCCCCCATGCCTAGCTTTCCACCTTAATTTATATATTTTTAATATTTATTATTTTTATTTTTTATTTTTTATGTGTATAGATGTATTTCTTGCATGTTTCTGCAAGTATGCAAGTACATTGTGTTGTGAATGCCCATGGAGGTCAGAAGAGGTCTTCGGATTCCCTGGAACTGTAGTTATGGGTGGTGGGAACTGAACCCAGGTCCTCTACAAAAGCAGCCAGTGCTCTTAACTGGCTTAACTGAGCCATCTCTCTAGCCCCTCTACCTTAATTTTTTAAAATTATTTTTATGTGTATGAGTGTTTTACCTGTGTATAATGTAAGTGTGCCATGTGTGGTATCCACAGAGGCCAGAAGAGGGCCATCAGATTCTCTGGAACTAGAGTTAGGGATGGTTGTGAGCCACCTTGTGGGTGCTGAACCATCTCTCCAGCCCCATCCAACTTAATTTTTGAGACAGGGTTCTTCACTGGAACTCTGGGTCCCTGATTAGGCTAGGCTGGCTAGCCAGTAAGTTCCTGGAATCTGCCTGCTTCAGTCTCTACAGTCCATAGATGACAAGTGCACACACCATACCCAGGTTTTTTTTTTTTTTTTTTTTTTGGAGACATGGTCTTATTATCTAGTCGTGATTAGCCTGGAGCTCACTATGTAGTCCAGATTAGCCTAGAACTCACAGAGATTTACCTGCCTCTGCCTCTTGAGTGGTGGGACTAAAGGTGTGTGCCATCATGCCCAGTAAAGTCTGTCTCACTCCCCCTCTCTCCCTCCCTCCTTTTTTGTGAGATAGAGATTCATGTATTCCAGGCCAGCCTTAAAGTTACTATGCGCAGGCATCTACCACAAATCCAGTTTATGTGGTGCTGGGGATGGAACCTAGGATCCATATATTTTAGGCAAGCACTGTACCAACTGATCTACTTCCCCAGGCAGGTCCAGCTTTTTTTTACATAGGTTCTGGGGAAGGAACTTGGATCATCATCTTGCACAGCAAGCCCTTTACCAACTGAGCATCTTCTCAGCCCTTAACTAACGTCTTTCTATCCATCGCTCATGTTACTTGCAGCTAATGGCCAAGTTTTAATAGTGAAGATATAATTCACATATCATAGTTCACCAACTTTAAGTAAGTGCAATTTAGTAGTTTTTGATATATTTACAAAGGTTGCAGGCCATTGAGGTGGCTCAGCAGGTAAAAGCACTCACCACGAAGCCTAACAACCTCAGTTCAGTCTCCAGTGGAAGGAGAGAACTGAGTCCCACATTTGTCCTCGATCTCCACGTGTGATGTGTCATGTGCAGACAGCTCGTGTGCCTGTGCACACACACACGGGAGAGGGAGAAAGAGAGAGGAAGAATAAATTAAAATAGTTGTAATAAAAAATGAAGGTCTGGAGAGATGAACACCCAGGTTCAGTTCCCAGCACTACATGGTAGCTAATAACTGTAACTCCAGTTTCAGGGGATGTGACACCCTATTCTGGCCTTCGTGGGCATTGTACAACACAGGTGCACTTACAGACATGCAGGCAGAAAAGTCATACACATAAAATAAAAATAATTACTTAATCCCCCCACCCGGTTGTTGTCTCTACCATACATTGCTAATGGCTGGCGTCACTGCATCTCTCATTTGTCCACTTCTCTGCCCTGGCCTATTTTTGGTTTTGTTTTTGTGGTACTGGGGCCTTGAGCATGCTAGGCAAGTATGGTATCACTGAGCTGCATCCCCAACATACATTTCTGATGTCATGGTGGGTCAGGAACCTCAGGGTGGTGCAGCCTATTTCTTGGATCTGAGTCTGTCACAGCTGCAGTCTTGAAGCATTTCCTTGGGAAGATTCTGCCTTCAGGCCCACCCTGCTGGTAGTTGGCAGGATGCAGGCCTCTGAGACCCCAGTGCCTAGCTGGTGGATGGCCATTCAGTAGCTGCTGGCCAGACCTTTCTTGATCCCTTGCCATGTGGACTACTTCATAAGGGGTGGGGAGAGCGCTCATAGCCTGGCAGCTGGCTGCTTAGGAGCTGGCAGATGAGAAAGCCAGAGAATGACAGTGACGCCAAAGCCCATGTTGGACCATTTGACTTTGGAAGTGACAGCCCCTCACTTCTGCTGGAATTCTGCTCATTAGAAACAAGCTCTGCCCAAGCCCAAGGGTGTGGCTAACACATGGCTACAGAGAGAAGGAGCCACCCTGGAAGAAGCAGCCCATGCAACCTTGATTTTATTTATTTATTTATTTATTTA